TGTGCAAGGGCTCAGTAAAATCAGCTTAGTCACAATCTAGTTCCTTTAAGAGTTTGCTAAGTCTGGAGAATGAAAATTGTACATGTAGTCACAGGTGCAAACTTGAGCCAAAGACCAATTCTAATGCAGAATTCCTCTAAAAAGTTTCATTTCTTTTTCCATGTGGAAATGGGGCATGATTTTACTCAGGGGTAGATAAACAAGTTAACTTTAGCAGTTGCAGTACTTTTATGAAGCAAACAAAAAAAGGGATCTGTTTTTTCAAATGTTTACCATAAAGCTGTGATACTAAAAGCATGTTGAACACAGAGAGAGAAAGAAGCTTTTGGGTTGTTGACCTCTGCCGTTGCAAGCCACCACAGCCTTTTTTTATATTCCCTTTTATTAATTCTCATGCTCCATTTAAAAACAAGTGAGGTTTCTTGCCGTCCCAACTCTTGTAAAACTGTTCAAAATACACACTTCTAAGTTCCAGCTTAAATAAACTCATGATCATTTGGTTTTGGGCCAATGCTAAACCATTTTTACTAAAATAATACAAGGTAGATCTTTTCTGGAGACACGAGTCCCGTAGAATTTGTAGTCATGGCATCCATATCATCTCTTCTTCCCATTCCCCCAATCCTCCTTATAAGTCAGAGTTATTGTTTTTAAAAAACCTGTATTAGGATCCAAGCACAAATGGGAGAAGTATTAATATTGAACCTATAAGGGAAGAAATGTCTCCATTCTTTCGACTTACATGTTCTAAAGTATTTCACATACGGACAAATTTAAATCTCTTGAAAGGGTTTAAAAGGAGCAGAAATCTCTGCCAATGTAACCAAAGTGCTGGTTGATGTAAAACAACAGATTGTTTTATTTAAGAGATGATTTGAAGGAAAACTTACATCTGTAAATACTGGTCTATGGCCTTAGATGATTGAATTGAGCTTTGGGGACTCTATAAGGTAAATGAAAGAAAAGGCATAAGAAGTGTAATGTTTAATCTTGGCTTGCAAGAGCCACATTTCAAAACATTTTTGAAGTTTAAACCACCAAATACGAGAAAGAGATTTTTTGTATTATTTTTGACTTTTGCACTTGAGATGATTTCTAATAACTTCAAGATATTTATGGTCAAATATTTAAGTTTGAAACCAGTGTTACTTTTGAAAGTTTTTGAAAAGAAAAGTTCATTAGGGCATCACTATTAAGAAGCAATGTTTAATAGGTCATGCTAATTAAATGAGGATAGTACTGTTACAAATTACAAAAATAAAATAGGTCATGGAGTTCTAAAAGCAATCTATTATATATGCACCATGCACATTATTATTAATACATGCATAATTTGAATGTTTTAGAAACTGTTTCTAAATATACATATATATATTCTAGTGTTTGATGTTGTTGCCTTTTTTAGATATTCAGAAGATTATTATCTTCACATAGTCACAAAACTGCAGAACTGCACCTGGAAAAGGAGACCAGAACAATCTACAAAATTCAGGTAATTTTCATTGTCTCATTTAGAAAAACTGTTTACCCTAGATTCATCTAACAAGCCATAAATTTAAATCTTCTGTTTTGAAAAGATAATTTTGTGTTGCTTTTAGACTGCATTTGTAGCTATACGATTCTATTAATCTTTGGATGCTGGGGCTCTTCTCATTTATTTGAATTGAACTGTGCAAACTGAGTAGGATAAATAAATAAATACGCAAATAAAGTAATTTTACCTGTCTCCACTACAATGAATAGTTAACTGACTTAAGTAGAATAGATTAAAATATTCCTGACACAAAACCTACAGTATTAAAAAAAAAAAATCAGTAATGTGATTTTGTCCATCTGAACTGGCACTCAGCTAAAAGACTGTATAATGAAGCAGTGTATTTGTTACCCCAAGACCATTGCTTCTATTACAGAAGTGCCCAAGGCACTCAGTAGGTTTGACACTGCATGTCATGGCCCCAGAGCATGTAAGCACGTGATTGCATCTGTGCTTGTTTGGGATGGCACATAAGTACATGCTCAGTAGGGACAGTGATCCCTGAAAAGCTTCCACTCTAATTTGGAAATGCATCATGCTGGGTTTAGAGAACAGCTTCACTGTGCCAACCCTATTTTCTCCAGGGGGAAATACTCTCTTGAATTACATTATCACATGGATCAGAATTAAAGATTCTGTCATGATAATTAAAAATAAATAAACTGACCTACCTTCCAACTCTTTGGAGTTAACTAGCATTGAAAACTCAATATTCACATGCTCAGCATGATACCCTTGGAAGAAGTAGGTTTTTTTGGGGTAAAGCTTTTTGTGCAACATAAATTGCTGTGTTTGCTGTGTGCCATAACTGACTAATGGTGTTTCCCAAAGCTGAGGTAGGAGAATACACAGAGTTAAGGCTTAAGAAACTTTCAATTAACTCAGGCAGGATTTAGCTGTGCACAGAGATATCAGAGCATGATAAGGAGCTGCAGAAGCAGCCCCTTCTGTTTCAGAACAGGTAGGTGTCTTGTACAGAGCTGACAAGAGGTGAAGCTGCTCTCATCTGCTCTTCACCTGCTTTTCACCCTGCTACATTTAGGGTTTTTATTTTCCAATCTTTTTTTAACTTACCTTCCTTCTGAACGGACCAGCCACCACTTATCAGAAATTTGCCACTTCTGCTGTGCTAGGTGTACGAGTCAGTGGCAGAGTAACCACTCCTTGTTCCAGCTTGACTTCTTCATTTATTGCTTCTGCATTCTCCCTTCCACTGGGCCAACTTCTTCTACATCTTCTAGGACAATGGGAATCAAACATGACATCCTCTATCTAAACCGTCATATGAGGCTGTTGGACTTTAAGTACAAGATGCTTGCTGTACCTCTTGCTGTCTTTGCCTTCCAGCAAGGAGTGTGGGTCATAAGTAGTCAAGGTGGGTTATGCAACCAGTGATCAGACTGGAAATATTCAAAAGTGAAAACTGTGGGGTGCCCTAGGCCACTTAGAAAATGTGGATTGTATGTACATTGAGGTGAGCTTGCTAGCTTTAACTTAGCTCAAATCCAAGTGAAAAAAATCTTTTGAAACCCATGGTTCAGCACAGGCTGGACAAACTCTTGTCACTTAATTTACATTCAAGGGCTGTGCTGTTATGGTTTCATTGCTTTTTAACATCCAAACAAACTAGAGTATTAGCTAGTTCATATGTCTACAACCCATGCTGCATTTCTGATGACTGTACTGTATTCTTCTGTCCTTATGAAATTTGATCTGCTTTGCTAGCATCCAAAAATTCCATTGATATGACCAAGGACTGGTACTTTTGTTTAGGGTATTGCAGATGATTATTTTACAAAAGATGTGTGCTTTTGCATGTCTTTTCTTTCTTTTTCTGTTCTCTCAAACTCCTCCTCTCTCTGTTGTTTTCTGGAAACAGGACATTAAAATTTTACAGTTGTCCTTGCTCCCAGACCATACTGGAGACTTTCAAGGCTCTTAGCAGTTCATCAATAGAGGCTTTAAAAAAAAAGAGAAAACCAAATTCAGTATAAAATTTACTGACTAATTCTGTATACACTCCATGCTTACAGCACTCCCAAACTTATTTATCAGACTTAAGCACAAGAGCCTGGAACTAGTTTTGGAAGGACACTCGAGCTGAGAAATGATGCTTTGACAGAGCTCTATAGGGAACAAAGCTTCTAGAAATGTGATGAAATGAATGAATTAATAATCCCTTGGCAGTACATCTCTTCCTTTTTCTAACTTTGCCTAGTGTCAATAATGCATAATAATTGTATAATACAAATATTATTCAGTTCTAAAAATCTCATTGTCAGTAGATAAACACACCCATTTTGCACAAGAGGAAATTAATCTCAGAGAGGCTGTGCATTTAGGAATTGGGTAATACAGCTAGCCACCTTCAGGAGGAGAGCTTGAAGCTGCCTGTGTCATATTATTCACCTGCCAGTGCCACCAGAAGTCTGCCTGCTGACTAGACTGCAGAGAAGCTGCTTGACTTCTTTCCCTGTTTGCCCATCTGTTAAATGGAGTGAACACTTACATGCTTCTCAGGCATGGTGTCAGTTGTATGACATCTCTGTATTATCCTGAAGTTCTGAAGAACAGGCATGCATATTTATAAGGGATTTAATGTCTTATGCTTCAGGGCATAAACTAACCTCTAATTAATAGGGTTCAAAAGCAGCTTCCCGTGCGGTAGTGAATTTCTCAAAGAAGCTTTCTTGTGTTTTCCTTTGCAGCTTTTGCTGTTGGCTACCATCATACTGGTAGTGGAGTGAAGGAATATGTGATCTGAGCCAGTAACTCTTATGTTCCTAGAAGACAGTACTGTGTGCCAATGAGTACACATCAATACTCTTTGTAAGCCGCACTCCCAGCAGATCCAGGCCATATAAAAGAATAAGAATTTGAAGTGTAATGCAGGAAAAAAGTACTTGTCTTTGTATTTGGCAAAAGGGTTACAGCTGACAGCCATGTGTGGCACAAACCACAGTCTTTTTGCCAACCCATTGTACAAAAAGCAGAGTGCAGGATTCCAGGTTGACCCTCTACTACCTAGCTCAGCTTTGCCATGCAGCTGTGCAAACTGTGTCCATTTGTTGTCAGAGAGCTGCCCTTTTCCTTTTCCAAATGGCTTCCTCTAAAGCTGCTCTGCTGTGCACGCTCATATGCACTTGGATAGATTGCTATCTGGCAGTGGTCAGTGGTTCTTGACAGCTATGTGATGTTTACTCATGCATTTCTCAAAATCAAGAAGAATCATGGGGCAAGTACAAGCCATGATGTTCTCTTTAATACCTCCCATATCCACAGTCACTCTTCTCTGGTTGATTTTTGTCCAGCCTCTGTTGGGGAACCAGTCTCCTGTCTCTTCACTTATTTCAGTATCTGTAATGCTGATATCAGCACTGCCAGATTTAGGCTGTCCTCAGAGGAGCAAGTGCAAGCACCTGGTTCACTGCTTTTGCAATCTAGTTAAGATTTATTGTGCCCCACATTAGTGTTTGTCAGCCATTGCTAAAGAGGTTTTATCTAGCTTCACAACAGATGCTAGAAAAGGTGATGTACCTACACCAGAAGTGGTGTAAATGGCATCCTACTAACAGTGATTTAGGGAAAGTCTTCTCCAACGTTTACTGCTACTGATGTATAGAAAGCTATTTAACTATTTTTTATTCAGACCTTTCCTTTATGAAATTCAGCTGTGCTTCTCTTGTTCTTTTTTTATTTCTCTTGTTCTTTATGGCTTTACAATCATCTAGCATCTCCACATTATCCCTTTGTTTCTAAGCCCACCTGAATTCTTCCTCCCTTTTCAGATTTATATCAGCTCTAACTTGTTTTAGACAAAGCAAGTCCTCAGATTTCTTGGTTATAAGAAAGGATTGGTACAAACTCGGAAAGGGAGGGGAAATAATCTCGCAGCTGCCTGGAAGCGTCATTCTTAAAGCTGCAGAAAAAAGCTGTGCTGGGTAGCTTCGTCTGCAAAGGCTCTTCTAGCTACAGTCAGTAGAGTCTCAGGTTCCCTAGGTAACCTGAATATTAATTATTATATTAGTATTCTTCAAAGGTTTTCCACTTAAAAGAAATGTTTCATTAGTGCAACAAATTACAGAGCCCAATTGGGTGCAAGCTGTAATTGTTTTCACACCTCCACATCTCTCTGCTTTAGAGACTTTTAAGCTTGATTTATCCTCATTTGGGCTATACACCCATAGTGGCAAATAATCTGCAGCTTTTCCAAAGAGTTGCAACTCCTGTTTCTGCTGGAAGCTAACAAATAGCTAAAACAGCCCTCAAGATGACTGGGTGGGAGGGAGGATATGGAGAAAGGCTGAGCAGATGCTGTGTTTCAGAGAAGCCTCTGGGCATTGTAGTTCTGGGCTATCTCGCTGATCTGGGAGCCTGGCAAAGCAAGGCAACAGGTCTTCAGGGGTGGTATCACACTGGAATAGCCCTGTGTGAGCTGTGGATACTGGGCCCCCTCCCCATGGAAATACCATTCCTAACAAACCTTATTTGCATCTGATAATGAAGGGAGAAGGAAATTCCTAGGTGTAAAATACAGTTTTAAAACCCCTGACGTTACACTGCAGTTTAGCTGGCACACTGCTCCACTCCACCAAAATATTTGTAACTTTTTTTAAAAGAAAACGTTGCTACTTTAAAAAAAGAACCCTGGGTCTTGAAAAGAATAGTTAAAAGATCAACCCATTTTCCTAGTCCTGTAATTTCCCCTCCTGCTTTTTATCCCACTGGACCTCTATTACCATTTTCCCACTTTAATATCTCTTCTGAAAAGTGTGTTAAACATTCCTGCAGATTATAAAATCCCACCCCTTGAAGAGATTAATTTGTAGTGTGCTACACTAACATATATAACAGTATTGCTTAACACATCTGTGTACTGCAATGAACCACAGTTGAAACACAAATAAAATACCCTGTGAGGTCAATTTATGCTTACATAAGCTCACACCACCACATAA